GTGGTGTTAAGGTTGTATTATTATCATTAGTGGTTTGTGTGGTGTTATCATTTGTAGTTTGTATTAGTTCATTAAATCGATTACGCATAATTTGGATTGTTGTGCGGCATAAATCACTTAAACAGAAATTTAAGCTCTTAAATCATGGGTCAAGAAAAGAACAGCACAATCCTATCTCACTTGGATCTCCCCAACATTCAACTAAGTTATTCAAGATCGTGTCTTTTACAAGAATTGCTTTATAACTTTGTCTAGTAAATTGCCTAAGCTGGTGAGTGAGTTCTTCCAATATTGGTGTCATAAAACCAAGTGTTGGATATTCAGATCCACTTAAAAATTGCGTTGCTTCATTGAAAGGAGAAAGGATTACAATAAGTTTATTCAATAATTCAAATTCATCTTCTGAAGGAAGGAAAGAACTCATCGTTTCTGCTCTTCTTCTAATCTCCCTAACAGTATGATTATTAAGAGTTGAATGTAATTATATAATAGCAGGTTTTAAAAATACAAGATGTTCAATAGAATAAAAGGTAGAGTTCCATTTGGTATCTATATCTTTAATAACATCTAGTGGTTCTTTGAGGCCTAAAGTAATTTGTAGCTGAGCCTCACAAAGTTGCTTTCATTTTTTTTCTTTTGCCAAATTAGAGATAAGTGATTTACATTTTGAAATAAGTTTATCAATTTCCTTTAATTCTAAATTTACACTTAATTGTAATGTATGTCCAGCGTACTTAATATTAGTAACATCCATTTTTTGTATCGCAGATTTGACATTTGCACCATTATCTGTAGTAATAGAAAAGACCTTTTTATGATTAATATTAAATTTATCAAGAACAGAATTAACTGACTCAACAATATCATCTGCGCAATGATCATCCAACTCTCCAATTTCAAGTACAATTTCGTACAACTCAAATGAATCTGTAAGCCAATGACAAGTAATTCCAAGATAACTATCATGGGCATGTGAAGACCAAATATCAAAAGTTAAAGAAATAGTGTCTGACGTCCTTGAAATAAGATTGATAATTTGCTTTACTGCCGAATTATAAGAGTCAAATATGATCATTTTTATTGTATTAACACATGGCATTTTAAAGCGAGGATCAAATTTTTTTAACAAAAGTTTAAAGTCATCAATTTCAACAAGATGAATTAGCTGAACATGTAAAACTATATATTGTACAACTTGATTTGTAAGCTTTTTTTGAATAAGAACAGGATAGGGTTTCATAATTACTTGTTGAATAGTTTGTTGATGAACCTTTACTGACTTATTCACAAGAGATTTCTTGGTAACATGATAGATATCCCTAAGATGATTTATTAAATTACTTGTTGAACCTAACCATAAATACTCTGTATCGCATTCTCCAAATAAACATTAAACTTTTTCGACTTCTTCTTCTTGATTATTTAATAAAACTGTTAAAAAATATTTTTTAAAAAATTGTCATACGAAACTTCCTGGCTTCCTTTTTTTTTTTGTTCTAATACTACTCAATTTTGAGGTAGATGTTGATGTCGAAGCTAATTCTTCATTATCACTGCTATTTCTTTCTTCGTTGTTATTATCAGATAAAGAATTGAACTCATCACTATACAAATTTTCTATTGTAGATTCTTCTATCTAGATATTACCACAAAGATGACACTTTTACGCTTTTATATTATAATATTGATGTAAAAGTACTTACATATTATATGGGTTTCATACAAGATAAAAATCTAGATTTGAAAAAATTTAATGGTTACTTTTATTTGATATTGTCTTCTTTTTTTATATAATAATAGATTTAGCTTCTATGAATCAAAGGCACTTACGTTTTATTCAAGAAAAAAAAAAAATCGAATATAAGCTAGCAGGTTTGTAACTAATATATTTAAATGTTTTTTTGTTCATTTCAAATTCTTAGAATAATTTTCCTTATGCTTTTTTTTTTTATATAACAACATTTGATTTTTATGAATTAAGCAATTCAATTATTAATAAATTGACTAATTCAATTATAATTATGCATTATTATTCTTATGTTATTCATATGATTCTAATATGAAACTATTAATTGCAAAACTGGTTAACAAAAAAGTTATCGCAGAGATAAAGTAAGTTTTTAACATATAAAATGCTTTCATCTTACCTCAGATTAAAGTAATTATGACTTTTTTTTTTTTTTTTTTATTGACAACTTCCTCTTACTTAACCAACAACCTACACTTATTACGTGACGGCAAGAAATAATTTAATAATTGTTGAAGAAAAAAATTTTTCAATATTTTTTTTTAAGATATAAGTTATGTTATGCATATTCGATTAACAAAATTGGTAGAGTCAAATGTAAATTATAAATAAACTATGCATGCA